TGATGTGTGCAATCCAATTTCTTTGGGTTTACAAGTCAGCCATACAGTTAGTGGCCGACCTGGTTGTAACATTCTATCCTCTAAGCTAAAGGACTCCATGAATTCCTCAACATATTGCAAGTCAGAACAAGCAGTTGGAGGTTTCATCAGAGAGAGTGTGAATGAATCCTCAGGTTTCGAGTCATAGATCTTAATTGACCACAGCTCCACGGTTTCATTGGTAGTATTCTCTATTGTGATTGAATCAACAACAGTTTCCCCAACAAAGCCTGATTTAGGTTTTCCCTCTATCAGCGGAAATGGAACAGATATAACAACTATATCACTCTCTTCATTTGGATTGTAGCTATAAACTGATTTATATTTGTCAAAGTCGACAAATCCGATGTCTCCTTTATAAGAAATAGTTGAGTATTCATCATCTGACTTATAAGCAATTGTGGCCATGAGTAATTGAAAGGAATTTGAACAAGAACCTGAAAGTTATTGTACAACTGTCAAATTTTTAGATTCATGGAGAAAGTTAACATGAATGAATTAATTACCACAACACTTGACACTTAAGCCGAATCACTTTTACACAAACAATCTGATAGTAAAATGAAAATTATGAGAACAAGCAGCAAATTTTCATTTAGACATAAGAAAATAAATAAGAAACACACTTATTTTCTACGGAAAACATCTTCCTTCACACTGAACACACCTAAATGGTTTTTCAATGTAACTTCTCCTTTATGATACTTAAAGATGTTACTTAAATATACATCCACTTTTTCGGACACCCCGAAAGTATAGATTGATAAGCCTAATAATCAACTTTTCTGAACTATTGCAAGGTTCCAGGTCACAAAATCACAAATAATTTTAAATTTTTAACCCCTCCCCAGAGCTACTCACACACAACATTTTGCTCACTCAAAACTCAAAACCATACGATTGAAAGTGAGGAATGTTCGTCACACGAGCAAGTCTCTCTTGTCCACAAATAAAAATATTTAAAATAAAATTATAAATGCATACCTGCACCGTGATTTCATTATAATAGAATTTTCTTTTTACAAAATTATATGACAATGGATATGGAATACACGTGCGGAGTACGTGCCTAGAGACTAGTAAGAATATAAATAAGAGACACTTATTTTCAAAAAAAAAAACATATTCCTTCACAATGAACACACCTAAATGGTTTTTTCAATATATGTAAGTTGTCCTTTTTGATACTTAACTGTTAACTTAAATATACATCCTCTTTTTCGGACACCCCAAAAGTATAGATAAACAAGCCTAATAATCAACTTTTCTGAATTATTGCAAGGTTCCAAGTCAGAAAATCACAAATGATTTTAATTTTTTAACCCCTCCCCATAACTCGCACCCAACTTTTTGCTCACTCAAACTCAGAACCATAGAATTGAAAGTGAGGAATGTTTGTTACACGCACAAGTCCCTCTTGTCCACAAATAAAAATATTGAAAATCAAGTCTACATCAAAATTAGGCCAAATTCTACAAAATCTTAAAATCAAACGATACACATTAGAAAAGAAAACACACAATCACAAATGTGTTGAGAAAACTAAAAACGCAGATCAAATAAAACAGATACGAAGGAAAACTCACCTCGATTTTGGTCTCTAGAAAGAGAGAACAGAGAAGAAGGGTTTAAACTTAATTAGAGATGAGTAATTGTGGAATGTCACTAAGAGACAACGGTACATAATTATAGTTAGCATCATTAGATTTACGTAATCTATACTCAGATTACAAATTTAATAAGTAGTTGACTGAACAGGAATATAGTCTCTTCTTATTTTAATGAATTTTCTTCAATTACTACTCAAATTATAAGCGAGCTGGAAAGATAATTAATGCTACAAACTCCGGTTTCATATAATCAAACATAGAAATAACAGTCACTTGACATATCTAATTCTACTATATGGAAGTCCGTCTTGATTATTCTTAAAAAGAGCTCTAACTTGATTACGGAAACAACTAATTAGCTAACTTGTCAGCCACCATATTGCCTTCCCTAAAGGCAAACGTAAACAGAAAAAATGATAATAATTGTAAATCATTCAGTAATGTCTTACAATCCTAAACAAGAGAATCAAAATAAGATTTATAATTTAGAGAGGTTGATGAAGTAGTTGATTATCTGTCCGATGAATTATTAGCAAAGTCACTCTTCAAGTAACTGAGAGCTTCTCAAAGGCTCATAATCTCTATGCAAATAACAGTACGTCTAGCTACTTTATTTGTGTCCCTGGCTGTTGTTGGATCATTTAATAGATGTTTCGTCATAGATTTCGATTTTTTTTTACTTTACTTGATATTTAAGAAATTGAAGTTGAAGTTGCATTTGGTAATACTTTTCTTCAAAGGAGAGAAGAGATGTAGTATTTTATTTGGAATTTATGATGATGACCAAGGAAGAGCTTGAAGGCGTGCAATGGACGTTTTTTTTATCATATGTATATGCATTCAATCTCACTTAAGTAGTATGTAGTATACAATTGACTTGAAGTTCTTATAATGTTCGGCTTGAGAATATTTTTGCAGTTTATAAAATAGTACTAGATGCTTTTAAATAGCTATATATTAATTTTAAAGAATTTTGGTTGCACTGAAAATTTGCTCCTTATTTTGGTTATTTGGTAGTTGAATAAATGTGTTTAATGGTGACAAATTTGCCAACTATAAAAAAGGATTTGTAAAGACTATTGTTGTTGCTAAAAGTTGTTCTTCAGTAACAAGGTGAAACTTGCACAAATGGGCATTAATTGTGGCTTCTCAAAGTTGTAGTCACAAATAACCTTTAGTTATGGAATAACTAGCTATGGCTCAATTGTTGCCAGTTGCCACTATATAGTTTTTCACCTTTAACCAGAGTTCTCGGGTTCGAGCCCTAGGTATGGAGAAAATCATGTTGGGAGCGCCACCCCCGAATTGGCTCTGCAGAGCGCTATCTGGATTTAGTCAGAGCTCCAATGTGAGCTTCCGGACACCGCGTGGGAAACCAAAAAAAAAAAATTAAAATAATAATAATAATATATATATATATATACACACACACTTACGACTCCACCATAATGTGACTACAAGAAATATGTCCTATAGTCGTCTTGGGTACGAAGTCGCCTTTGTTAGGGAGTGCTTTACCTCTGTGGGACTTTTCGGTGCGAATTCAGATTTAGTCGGGCTCCAATGTGGGTACCAAACACCGGGGTGGGAAATCAAAAAAAAAATCAAACTAGAAAAGAGACCGAATTTACTTAAAACCCAAAAAAGGACAATTTTTTGGAATTAAATTAAATTCAACTAAGAGGCAAATTTATTCTATTTCTTTTTATAGTTCAACTTCACAAGTGTATACAATGACACGTTATTACAAATCTTACCTAGTCATGAACCCTTATTAGTTAACCTACATATTCCCTTTCTGTAATTTAAAAAGAAAAAAGTCATCCACAAGTAACCAAATCACCACAAAAGAATGTATATATATACATCTCCAGCCCCCCACATGACTTCACAAATTAAAATTAAAGCACGAAATTACATTATGTCAAAAATGGGATTGAACGTCAAAATTTGCATGACTTTAGTTGCAATATTAGCAATAGGGAATAACTACATGATTTCAAGAGGAGCAATGGCTCAATCTAACTGCATGAATGCATTTTTAAGCATGTATTCATGTCTTAGCTATGTCACTGGATCAACTCCAAAAACTCCACCGTCGAGCTCTTGCTGCTCCGCCCTCTCAGGGGTACTGCAATCGCAGCCAAGATGTCTTTGCACCATTGCTAATGGAGGTGGTTCCTCGTTAGGAGTTCAAATTAATCAAACTCTTGCACTTGCATTACCTGCTGCATGCAACCTTAAAACTCCTCCTGTTAGTAGATGTTACGGTAAGTACGTAGTAATTAATTAACAGGACATTATGGTGCATTCTAATACATATGTTTAGTTTGACAATAAATTAAATTCAAAAGTCTTATTTAGTTTCTTAAATTTAGTTTCAAACCAAACTCAGACAAACAAATTAAAAAAGAGGGAGAGTACTCATTTTCATATACTGATTAGTTATTAGTAGCATTAATTTATCAGATTTTCGTTAATACACTTTTCTCTGATACTAATTTCATATTTGTGCTAATAATACTAATTGATAGCTGGTAATGGACCGGCAATGTCTCCAATCTCAAGGGGCTCTCCAGTGGGCTCGCCAGAGGGTTCATCTTCCGACGAGACTGCGGATCCTCCAATGCCAGGTAAGTCATGAACAAACACACCACATTCCGTGCCTAGTCAGACTAAGAACACTTAAATTGAACTGAAGACATGGTTTTGTGTTGATTATCGATTATTTATGACATGTTATATGTTTATGGATGGATTGTGCAGGGTTCGAAGAGAACTGGGAGTAGCAGTACGTTGCTGAGTTTTCATGTGGGAGACTGGGAGTTCTAAAGAAGTTTGTTACATAAATTAGCAATACATTTTAATGTAATGTCATGTTATGATATTATATATTGTGGGGTGATTTCTATTAGTAATTAATTGTGTACTGTTTTCCTTCATTTCTGTAATGTCCTAGCAATGAACTCCAAAGTTTGAATTTATTTGGCACTATTACTATTTGTAATTGAATATACGTACATGTGAAAATTAATTTTGTGATTTTGTCCATGTGATTGGAGTTGTCTCACCATAACGTTCTCTTGAATTTTAATTTTTCAAAATATTTTTTTATTTGATATGTTATATATTCAGTTAGGGAAAAAAATTATTAGGTACATAAAAATTATACTAAAAGAACAATTAACGAAATTATAACTTAGTAAGGAGTGAACATCTTGATTATGATTCACTTTTTAGCTCATTTTAGGCTTTAGCCCGAGTAATTTTTGAATAGTCATTAACACATCTATTTATTAACTCAATTCATTTCGAACCAATTCTTGAAGGTCTTCGTCTTGAACAGAATCCTCTGTTACGACATACGACTTACCACCAAACAAATCACATCAACTGGTGCCACTGTACCAATTCCTACCTAATTCCTATATATGTAAAATATGCCAAATCCTTATCAATGTTAATCTTTCATATAATTTGTTTTCTGGTCTTCCACATCCTTTTTCCAAATATAAACCAGCAGTCATTCAACAAGATTATTAGTATGTGATCAAACTTTTACTATCAGAATCTCTTTTTCTTTCTCCTCATTTCACAGGGATTGATTTTTACAAAAAGATGGCTGATCAGAGGTACGAAATGAGTCTTGCCTTGATTGTGTTCGCGGTGATCTGGGCTGGAGTAATTGCTCAAGAAAGCGATGACTGCACAAACGTGTTGGTCAGCATGTCACCTTGCCTGAACTACTATGCGGACAGCTCCTCGCCACAACTCTTAGGTTGCTGCATGCAGCTTAGCACGGTGGTTGATAAAAAGCCAGAGTGCTTGTGCCAGGTTCTCAATGGGGGTGACTCCGACCTGGGACTCAACATTAACAAGACTCAGGCATCGGCCCTCACTACCGCTTGCAAAGTTCAGACTCCACCTGCTAGCCGCTGCAACGGTAAGAGAAGAATATTCACTCTAAAATCTCCACATACAGCTTGTTAACAGCAAGTGCTTTAGTATATAATGTCTTCAACTGTGACAGGACGTGGATCTGCATCACAAGGAGGTTCCAATGATGCAACTTCAACTAATATGGCTGCTCCTTTTTCCTTATTTTTTTTCTATATTGTTTCTTATGCTTCAATAATCAACATCACCTAACTTTGTCTACCTACCGTAGACTTTTCAGTGCATTGTATCGACTGTATTTTGATTAGCTAATTTGCTCTGTCATGAAAGTGGACTATTACTTTTCAAACATTTGCTCATTTCAGCAGTCAGCTTTCCACCAGGGCTGATTGGCCATTGTATTGTATTTCCTCAATCACTATTCGTAATACACAGTCTTCCGGCCCAATTTATGTAATGCTCATTCCTTCCGGGAGGGGGCAAGTGGGGCAGTAATTGGCAGCATTGACATTCATGTTGTAAATTAGAATTATAACAGAAAGTGTAGCTATAAGCTGTTTGAGCCCTGCTTTCAAGAAAACTATTTGCAAACACACAAAAATTAAAATAAAATAAAAATGAGCTACGTCCAAAGAAGATACGTAATAAATTAAATTAGTTGGCCTACAAGAAAGGATGTACATAGAATTCACAAGCTCTAAACAAGAGGTATGCCACAACAGAAAACCTTGTAGAACTCATAAAAGGACGATATTCATCTAAGGGGACTGTATTTCTATCTATTGATGACATTGACAAGTTTATCAAGGTACTTTGGGATTTTGTCGAGTCTCTTGGCTGTCCAGTTTTGTAAGATATTGTAGAACCTGGTGCAACACAGAGCAACATATCATGTTACTTGAAACATGCAAGTGTTACAAAATATACTTGACTTGACTTGACTATGAAATTGTTGAACAAAAAAATAACTATGCTACAGCTAACTCAGCATCATTCTTGAATATAGGAAAAAGTCACAAAAATTCACGTACCAATCTCAAACAACAACAAGATACCCAGAGTAATCTAACAAGTGGGGTCGGGAGTGGGTACAATGTACACATACCTTACCACAAAGATCATTGTGGGGGAGAGAGGTTATTTATGGTAAACCCTCGACTCAAAAGAAGTGTAACCAAAGCAAGATTGAAAAGAAAATCAACAACAACAAAATAGCAAGATGAACAAAGCAAAGAAGCAACCAGCAAAAGCAAATATTCAAGAATAAGATAGAATACTACTAAAAATGGTGAAGAATAAGACTAACCCTACCTCTCCCACATAAAAGTACTACAACACTCAGTTGCCTACTACCCTTCTACCCTAATATTCGACCTCTCTACCTTCCTATGTAAGGCTGTGTACCACACTCCTACTACAGAATAAACTATGCCATTTTAACACTACCCACACTCCTTGACACTGGAACTAGCACCAACATGACACGATGGAAGCATTTTTGTTAGGCTTGAGCTTGACTAACAAAGGTAAAAGCAGCACTTTCTAAAGTAAAAAGCACAAAATAGTGCCAACACCTACGAGGCTTGAACAAGTGCAACGCACAATTCACAACATTAAAAAATACTTAACATATTCTTAAAAAAAAAAAAAAAAAAACATATATGAATTTAGCACTATAATGACCAAACTGCAACTAAAGTAACGAATTTGAGTATCTTATACACAAACGACATTAATCCAACTCCTCAAAGTTGAGATTGAAAGAACTGACCGCTTTGTATCGGGATCACTTTGTGCATCGTCAGGGCTAAGCTGACGGCTCCTTTTGCAGGTTCAACAAACCCGATAGGTTTGGCTTAGACCAATGTATTTGTGTTGGAAAATTCATGTAATATTTATAGAAAATTTATCAAGAACCCAATAATCTTTTTCAAAACCCAAAAACTCAAAATCCAAACTCCTCTGTGCATCATAGTGTGAAGCACACACTTCTATGAAGCACAGGACTTCAACTCTAGGTAAAAGGGTGAACAAAGGTGAAAAGATGTCCCAAATACATTATCAATTTCGCAGTTAACTTTCTCAAAAAAAATACATTATCAATTTCTTTTGGAAACAGATGGAGAAATGAAAAGGGAAAATCAAATTTCATGCTTCCTTTATCCCTTGTAACCATGGCTCTGACCCATTCTCTATGTAAGGGACTCTCTAATCCTTCTTTGTGCATTTACTAAATATTAACCAACAACAGGGATTACATTCCGGTTTACAAACGTGTCTATGTTTCCTGCCCAAAAACTTTTAAAATAAAAAAAGAAGATGAAAAGCAAGTTTCTTCTTGCCCTGCAAATGACATATTTAACAGATGTTGGAGAATTGTGGGCCCAATTCTCAAATCCTACTTTGCCAAATCATTCAATTTGAATAGTCTGGCAAATCATTACCTCTCAGCTTAAAAGAAGAAGCAATTCACAAGATAACAAACATAATATTGAAGAGATTCTGTCAACTTGCAGCAGTTTGCAGCAGAACCTCCAATTTATGCATGAGAGGTGATATAATTAAAGAAGAGAATAACACCGCCATCACATTTTACCCTCAGAACAACAACAGCACTACTCATACCAACAACGGGTGGAACCTACTTGAACCTAGTCAAATTCAAGCAATAGAAAGTCAACATCCAGTTACAAAAAAAAGAAAAAAAAAAGTATATATAAACACACACACACACGTATTTCTACAAATTTGAACATAAAATGTGTTATTCTCATGACTTTAACAAAAAAACCTAGGCTAAGGCCTCATTGGCAGCACACTCCCTGTCAGTGGTGTCCAAGATAAATAAATCTTTAAACAAACTCTAATTCATTAAAGATGTTGGACGTGTTGTACCAATAAATCAAAAAGACGTTCCCATGACACAACTCTTATACATGCCGAAAACTACTACAACTTCTAAGTCTCCAAACTAGTAAGGGTGAATTATCTATATCCATACTACTCCATTTAAAAAAGTAACTCCTGTATCTATCTCCGTTAACAAGGAGATGAGAATCAGTCCAGGTGACAAGGCCGAAGGTATCTTTGGACCTGACTGGGTTCAGCACGGGGCACAAGGTTAAGTTGGATCACCAAAAATCAGAAAGTTATTCCTACTATATGGAAATGATTGCGAGACCAACTACCAAGTACCAAGTTTCAGGCAACTTTAAATTACTAATAGAACACGGTCAGCTATCCAAAAATCAGCATAACTACAAAAGAGTTTCATCACATTCTACAGCCAAACACCTCCTCAATGACACCATCAACCAGCCGAATAAACAGCAAAATTTAGGAGGAAAAATGCTAAGCACGTAGCTAATCAAGTTTGAAAATTGCTGCATCCTTTAGATGCTATTTAGAGAAGATATTTACTTGATTAAGAAAAAAGAGTTTCTCAAGTATGAGAAATTAGGTTAATCATTGTTACAACCGAAAAGACGGTCACAAAGGGAAATACAACTTATAGCAAGTTGTCTACCTAGAGACTCAGCATGCATCAATGAGACCGAGACCGCATAAATTCTTCAAGTTTCTCCCACACCTCAAGTGCTGCAGCTCTGTCCTGGTGTCGTTTGTTCTTACTTATCTGCAGATCCCATTTGCAAAATAGAATTGATAAGACATAATAATCATACAGAATTAAAAGCAAATTGTCGTCATCTGCACAAAAATTGTCAGTTTTACAGATTTTAAAGATGAGAGCTAAATCCACAATCGTTATTGTGCTAACCGAGATAATCTTGACATTCCATTGCTTCACGGTCTTCGCTGACTCCACACTATCATCCTCAAAACGCAAGAAAAATCCTACAACTGCAGCAAAAGTGAGCAAATCTAATTTCAGATTCCAAGTGAAAATTGAACCAAAAGATCACTACTTTTTCTAGTGAAGAACAAACAAGATTACTCCAATCCTTTTAGGAACTAGTATTACAAGAGGCTATCATCATTTGACAAACAATATGACAAAATCCAGCTGCACATAATCATTCAGAACTTACCCCTGTTAAAGGTCTCAACATGATCCTTAAAAGGCCAATCTTTGAACTGCCAGTCTTTCCCCAACACAAAAACTGCCACCACACGGTCCCAATCTTCCGGCTTCAAGGCAGAAGGCTTATCTCTAACCTCATATGCTGTAACTACCCTATCCCTACTAAACTTCTTTTGTACTGTTATACAATCCGGTTTTGACCCCTTCATCTGCTTCAGTTTCACATCAGTAGGTATAAACACCCCATCCTCCAAAAAGTCCTTCACATTATAGATGGTGATCAAAGTCGAAAACGCACTGGGAACCAAAATAATGGGAACACCCTCCCCTATCTTACTCCCCTTCAAATGCATTTTCGCCTTGGGCCCTCCATCATATCCTATTTCATCACCACCTCCATACCCCCTATCTATCCGATTCTTTGCAACCAACCCATCTTTTCTCTGCAACGATTCGGCCCGGTGCCGCTCCTCATCTCTACGCAACGCAGCCGTAAAAACACTATAGAAATCCCGGTTCTTACAAAACAAAATCGCTTCTCTATCCTTCAAAGGCTTCTCAGCAGCTTTAATCAACTCAATAGGATTTTGATTTTCCAAAACCCTAACATCACCCAAGACATTCTCCTCATTGCCAGTAACACCAGCTGAAACAGAAACAGGAACTGTAGTATCATTCGACTGAGGGAATTTGAGGAATTCGATAGAATCTGAAGATGCAGTCTTTCCGGTGAGATAATCGAGAAGGGGTTTACGGTCAGGTAGGGTAACCGCCGGAATACGAAGGGAACGAGATTGCTGAATGTATTCAGTGTGTTTGAGGTGGTGATTGGTGATGAAGTTGATTAGGGTTTCGAGAGTGTACTGATTAGCTTGAACATGTTTGGAGCGATAAGCGGTTTCGATTGTGCAAGGGAAAGTATAGTCATTGCCGAAACGGTAGTCGTCGCCGATGCGGACAATCTTGTGGAGCTCGTTGCGGATGGTGTACTCGCGGAGGAGTGTGAGGGGATCCATGGAAGATCGATTAGGGATTGAAAATTGTCACTGAAATTATGGGGATTAGAGTATGTTGGACTAGTTCATAAAGAGTACTGTCTGTATGAAACAAGTTGGCATTCCCTTTGGAGCCCGAAGGAGTTTTTGTGCCGAAAAAAGAAATCTTTCTTAATTTTGATATTAAAATATAATTTGCTTATCAAAATCAAACACAAATTACTTTTTTTTAAAGCACAAAGTTATTTTTAAAAAATATTTCTAAAAATAATTAATTTTTACTAGTAATGTCAAACAAGCTTTAAACAAGGTGAGATACTAAAAATATAGAATCAAATCGTAACCGATAAGTCAATCGTAAAATTAGTTTATTGGTTTATTAATAATGGGTTATCGAAAAATGGAGAGTGATTGGATTAAATTTTTTTATAGTTAGCGGCCTATTGTTGCAAAGGTGGATTACT